CCTACTAGTGGGACTGCCTTGCCAGTAGGACTGTACCACCAGTGGCACCTGTCCTGCTATTGATTCTGCCCAGCCAGTGGTGACTGTTCTGCCAGCGGTGACTGTGCTGCCAGGGGATTCTGTCTTGCCAGTGGGAATGCCATACCAGTGATGTTTGTCTTGTCAATGGGGTCTGTCCTGTGAGTGATATCTGTATTGTCCTCCAGTGAGTCGATACCACCAGTGGTGCCTCTCTTTTTCGTGGGACTGTCCTGCCATGAGGATCGGTCCTGCCTCTGTTGCCTGTTCTGCTAACAGGACTGTCCCACCTGTGCTGTCTGTTCTTCAAGGGATTCTATGCGGCCAGCGTTGACTGGCCTGAGTCATTCTGCCCTGCCAGTGTTGTCTGTCCTGCTAGTGATTCTCCCTGTCAGTGATTTCTGTACTGCCAGTGGTGACTGACCTGCCAGTGATTCTATCCTGTCAATAGTATAAGTCCTTTTGTGGGATTTCTTTGCCAGTGTACTTTCAGTGCTTTCTGTACTTCCAATGGGGACTGCCCACCAGTGTTGTCACCTGCCAGTGGACACGCTTGCCATTCAGAGATAGCAAGAACTGCAGAGGCTGGAGTTAGAGTCAATACAATGTTGAGCTAGAGGAACACAGCAGGTTGGGCAGCATCAGAGGAGCAGGAAAGTCAATGTTTTGGGTTTACACCCTTCATCAAGACTGGGGAGGGGGAAGGGAGCTTGGAAATAAATACAGGGAGGGGATGGTGCTGGGGGAAAGTAGGTGGAATGGTGGTATAGGTCGTTGCAGGTAGGGGGTAGTGGAGAGTGGTCATTGGGAAGGGTGGGGCAGACAAGTGGGAAAGAAGATGGGCAGGTTGTGTCAGATCAAGGAGGTAGGGTTGGACATGGAATGAGGCTGGGGGTGAGGACATATTGAGGGCAGGAATGCAGGAAATGCAAGAGATGATATTGAGGGCATTATGAACCAACGGATGGGGGAGGTTGCGGTCTTTGAAGTAAGAGGGCATCTGGGATGCCAGGGAGTGGAACACTCCATCTTGGAAGCAGATGTGGTATTTGTGGAGGAATTGGGAGTAAGGGATCACATTCTTATAGGAAGGTGGGGTGAGAGAAGATGTAGTCAAGGACACAACCACAATTATTTAAGTAAGAGATGTGGAGGATTTTCTTCTCTCAGAGGGTTTGAACCTGGAATTCTTCACTGCAGTGGCTGTCAAGGCTTAGCCATTATATTTATTCAAGGCCGAGACATTCAGTTTTTTTATTAATAGTCAGTGAGGGATTCGAGGGTTATGGGGAAAAAGGTAGGTAAGTGAAACTGAGGATTATTAGATCAGTCACAATATAATTTATTGATGGAGCACAGTGGTTGGGCTGAGTGGCCTTCTTTGCATTCTCCAACTCATGATCTTCTGATTTGAAGTTATGTCTGTGGTGATGTGTGATCTGCTGCCTGGTGTTTGGCCTGTTCATAGACAAGAGGAGTATTTAATGGTGTAGAGGAGCTAACTGTTTCTGAAAGCCAGCTCAACGAAATCAGGGTGTAAAGCATCAGAACAAGATGAGAAAGGAAACAATAATGTGAGAGTGAAGCATTCTTATACAGATCTGGAAAGATCCAATTTAGGAGCAAAGAGTTTCTGTTGGACTGAGCTGGGCTTTGTCCACACAGACTGTTGGTGCTGATTGTCCTCTTGGCTGCAGAGTATTACTCTGACTCTTCCCAGAGCTCTGGTCCTGACTCTTGTCACTTCTTGTCTCCCAATTTCCCTCCTTGTCAGTACACCGGCTTGGAACATGTAAGTGACGATCATGCTGGAGGGCGCTACTGTCATTCTTAATGGGTCAGTGTGGGCTCCCTGTGTTCAGTGCTGGCCGCCACCATCGACATCCCGGGGGCTATCATTGAAAGAGCATCTAACCATCATCTTTTGATGTTCAATGGCGTTACCGTAACTGAATCAACCCCATATTAACATTCTGAGTGGAAACACTGAGAGAGAGAATCTAATTATCAAATCCCACACCCCCCCCCCCCACCTTGATGCTCAGTGGTGTCATCATCACTAAATCCCCCTTTTATAAAATCCCATGAGCTACCATCACGTTCAGTGACGTTACCATCACTGGATTTCCACCAACCCCTCCCCCTACCAACTCCCAACATCAACATCCACATCCTGGGGGTTAGCATTGAGAGAGAATCTCACCTTTGCTTCTTTGATGCTCAATGGCATCACCATTACTAAATACTCCCATTACCAACATCCATAGTTTGCCATTGACCAGATACTGAAGTGGACCAGCCATATCACTACAGTGGCTAAAAGGACAGGTCAGAGGCTACCAAGACTGTGGTATGGAACTCACTTCCCAGCTCCCCATAGCCTGTCCACCATCGACAAGGCACAGGTCAGGACTGCGATGGAACACTCCCCACTGGCCTGAATGGGTGCAACTCCAACAATACTGAAGAAGTTCGAAACCATCCAGGACAAAGCAGCTCGTTTGATTGGCACCACATCCGCAAGCATCCAGTCCCTCCACCACTGCCGCTCAGTAGCAGCAGTGTGTCCCATCTACAAGATGCACTGCAGAAATTCACCAAGGCTCGTCAGACAGGACATTCCAAACCCACCACCACTTTCATCTCGAAGAATAAGGGCAGCAGTTAAATGGAAACTCCACCCCCCTGCAGGTTCCCCTTCAAGCCAGCCACCAATATATTGTCATTCCTTCAATGCTGTTGGGTCAAAATCCTTCTGTAGATGGTTCATTTGTGACAGAGAGCGAGACAGAGATAGATAGATAGATAGATAGATAGATAGATAGATAGATAGATAGA